CTTTGCTGGGAATAATGTAGTTGGTGTTTTTCCATTCTTGGTACCTTCACGTTCAGTAGTATGAGGTTCCAGCGTCCTAACCAGGAAAATAACAGATGTGCAGTATCACCGAATTGTTTCTTAGAGGCTGAATAGTACTCCACGAACATCGAGTAATACATATACACATCTTATTAATCATTCTTTGAATTGATGGGCACTCTGGCTGGTTCCACAAGCCTTGCGAATTATGAATTGTGGGCTGCTAATGAACCATTCCAGTGGCAGGTGTCTTTTTATGTAGAGTGTCATTGGATCATTTGGGTGATGCCCCAGCAATGGGATTTGCTGGATCCAAATGCTAGATTCCTTGGTATCGCTTTACAGGTAGATCTCCAGTATTCCTTCCACAGAGGTTTGAAGCCCCTAGTTTGCCAGCGCTACCAGCATGTAGGAGTGTGTCCTCCTCTCTCACACATCGCACCCGAGCATTTGTTGATTTGGAGACTTTTTGATAAAGGCCCCTCCAGCAAACTAGTATTAACTGAGTAGCACCTAAGTGGACACATAGGTACTACAGTAATAGAGTATTGGGGAAGGGGGGGAGGGGGGGCAGGTATATACATACATAACGAGTGATAGGCGCACCATCTGAGGGATGGTCATGCTGGAGACTCAGACTTTTGGGGGGGGAAGGGCATTTATTGAAACTTTAAAATCTGTACCCCCATAATATGCCGAAATAAAAAAATAAAATAAAATAAAATAAAATTTAAAAAGGCTGGGCACAGTTTCTAGGTACAAATCCTCTTTCACCCCATCTGTTTTCCTGATTCTCAATCCCTCTATCAACTCTTTACTTTCACAATCGTAAATACCTTCCCTGCTTTCACATATGGTCAAGTAACTGCAGGCGTGAGGCAGGGACTCCATCCAATGGGATGCTGGTGTGAGTTTAGGCCACCAGTCTCACATGGTGCAGAGCTCTGGAGGGTGGGGGATAGTTCTAGGGTCCACTAGCTCCTTTCTTGTCTGCTGAGGGCTCCTTTGCTCACTGTCCACTGCTACCTCCTCCTGGCTTCAGATAAGATTCTCTCTTTCTTTGGCTCACGCTGTTACAGTCTCACACACAGTAACATAGGTAACACACACTAGGCATAAAGGACTTCTTCCTCTAGGACTTGTTCTTCCTTTTCCTACCTCTATTCAAAAGACAAATAATATTCTATATAGAGGCTTACCAAGAGAGAACTTTAGAAACACTAACCAAGGGAACATTGTATTCCTATGAATGCTCCTAGGAGTGAATATCCCAAATCAAAATTTCTTTGCAGGTTGTGTGTGTGTGTATGCATGCATGTATGAATATGTGTGTATACATATGTGTATATGTATATATTATATATTTATTCATCTATATCTTACATGATATTGGTGCCGCCCCAGGATACTCTTTTCTGGTCACTTGGCACATTGCTAAAGGATTAAAAAGTACACAGCAAGACACCATGTTATTCCTCAGACATAACTTTATGGTTTCAAATTAGCATAACTTTCTGTACAACTTATAAAGTTGTTTACCCTTAATTCACATGCAATCAGTTATTTGGAAATTTATATTTCCTCCAGGGAAATGCATCTTTACATGTTTGTTAATAAGTATCTTAGGCCTGTGACAACCTTGTATGATATTTAATTAATATTTAAGTTCAGGTTTTTATTATTGAAGCTAACCACAATGTGAACACATTTTGTAACTTATTTCAAATTCAACTGCAGTTTCTAGGCACAAATCCCCTTTACCCAATCTAATTTCCTGATTCTCAAGTCCCTCCATTGACACCTTATTTTTATCATCACAGATGTCTTCTATGCTCTCATGTAGGGTCAAGAAACTGCAGGCTTGAGGCTCAATCCAAGGTGATGGTGAATTTGGATTGGGAGCACCAGTCTCACATGGTGGAAGAAATCTGGAGGGTAAGGAACACTTCCAGGGCTATTAGCACCATTTTTTTTTTCTGCTGAGGACTTCTCTGCTCCCTGTCCACTGCTACCTCCTTCTTGCTCCAAATAGAATTCTGTCCTCCCTTGGATAGCAGAGTACTATAGAAAGAAAATCTGAGTTCCTAAGCATTTTCCTGCTAGTAACTAAGCATGGCAGTACACTAGTAAGAAGAAGCACCTGTCTGTGATTTGTCTCTCTTTTATCCAACACAATCTTAAAAAGGTGAAAAGTCAACTAGAGATGCTATAGTTAGAAGATTTAGAAACAATGCCAAAGACGCACTGTATTTCTGTCTGAAAATGAGAGCAAAAATAAAAAAAAGCACACTGTATTGCCACAGATGCTCCTAAGAGTAAATCTCACAAATCTCAATGTCTCTGTCACTGCTTTATGTGTTTTGTGCATGTGTGCATGCATGTTGATAGAAGTATGTATCTGTGTGTATGTGCATATGTGTATCTTAATATTTTATAACTCACATTTCTCTGCTGGCTCTATGACTATTTCCTCTGGTCAATTCCTCTTGACTTGGGCTATAGGGAAAAATGGTCATAGTTAGACATGATGTATAATTTACTTTTTGCATCAAATAGCTACAACTACTCTACAAGTAATGACCTAGTTAATCTTCAAATATTCATGCGTATGTACAGGCGGTCCCCGGGGTTATGGAGGAGATACATTTCTGAGAAGGTTTTCAGGTTGGATTTGTATGTAACTCAGATTCCTGATGAAGAGTGCATATTTGTTGATGATAATAACAATACTATAATGGCTCATAGGTGGTAATAGCAATACACTGTAATGATAATAATAATACCCCTGTACACAGTAATAGTAAGTCACAGAAACTATTGTGCTTATTTATTTATTTATTTATTTATTTATTTTTTTGAGACAGAGTTTCACTTTGTTGCCTGGGCTAGAATGCCGTGGTGTCAGCCTAGCTCACAGCAACCTAAAATTCCTGGGCTCAAGCAATCTTACTGCCTCAGCCTCCCGAATAGCTGGGACTACAGGCATGAGCCACCATGCCCAGCTAATTTTTTCTATATATTTTTAGTTGGCCAATTAATTTCTTTCTATTTTTTTAGTAGGTTTCACTCTTGCTCAGGCTGGTCTCAAACTCCTGACCTTGAGCGATCTGCTTGCCTCAGCCTCCCAGAACGCTAGGATTACAGGCGTGAACCGCTGTGCCCGGCCTGTGCTCATATTTTAAATTCAAACAAATAGAATATAAAAACAAACTCATACAAATAGTTTAGATGAGACGGGAGAAATTTAAAAAAAAATAATATTAAAGGTTAACACTCACTTAATGTTGCAGCAATGTCTTGCATACAGGAAGAAACATTTTTGAGGCAAGAAGGTAGGCTAACAATCAGAAGATGGTGATGGTGCTAGAGAGGATGGAGTGGGTGCTAGAGAATCAGGATTTGATTCTGTCACTGGAGGAGGGGAGCTGACCACTGAAGTCGGTTTCTTGCAAAAGGTGTCTAGGGTTGTCTGCACAGCCTTTTTCTTTTTGTCATCATAAATGGCCTTATAGCTGCTGGTATTCTCAATAACTGCACAGTAAACCTTTGTAAACTGCTCAATGTTAGGATCTTGCTCCTCATGCTTAGCAAATCCTGCTTCAATGAGATGAAAGGCTTCAGCTAATTCTTTTTTCATAAACTTTCTTGGCTCTGGATCTTCTGATTCTTTGTGCTCTTGTGTTCCATTTAGTTGCTTCTCTGTGTATGAGACCAGCAGCTAGTGTAGAGATGCCATGCCAATGAAACGCTTAGCCATGCAGGTTTGTTTACATGCGTGGAAGAAACTAGTTTCCCAATCATTAATTTAATTATTAAATTATAAGTTATCCTTACTGGAAGCCCATTTGTAAGTACAGAACACCATAAGTTGGGTGGTCTGTAACCCAGAGACTGCCTATATATCACTCATTTGACCTGGTATGCCATTTTTTTAAAATTAGAAATGAGGTTTTATAAGCTGGTAACAAATGTCTTAGGCTGTGAAAATAGTAATGTATCCAGATTAAGTAACTATTTCTTAATCCTATATGTAACAGTCTTTTGCCATGGCATTTCTTTCAAGTTCAACTTTAGTTTCTATGTCCCCATCACTCGTATTCCATTGGAATTCCCAATTCTTAATTACCATCATCACCTCCTTATTTTTCATCTATCATAGATGTCTTTCTTGCCCAAGAGATAGCTGCAGGCCTGAGGCAGGGGCTCCATCCAATGCGATGGTGGGTTTGGGTTGGGGGCACCAGCCTCAGAGGGTAGCAGAGCCCTGGAAGGCGAGGAACACTTTCAGGGTTATTAGCTCCATTCTCTTCTGCTGAGGATTCCTTTGCTACCTGCCCACTGCTACCTCTTCCTTGCTCCAAATAGGATTCTCTCCTCTCTTGGCCCACACTAGCACAGTCTCATTTCCACAGTAACTAAAGGTGACAAACACCACAAGTATGAAATCTTCTCTATGAGCTGTACCCCAATCTTTCTATCTCGATCCAAAAGAAAAAAATATTTCATAAGGAAGTTTACTGGGAGAGGACTTTAGAAATAGTTTCAAGGAAACTTTTTATTCCCATGGATGCTCCTGACAAGAATAACCCAAATCTCAATCTCTCTGTATGCTGTATATACAAAGGCATGTATGTGTGTGTGTGTGTATATATGCATATATATGTATTTATGCATTTATATCACATAGTGCATTAGTGCATTACTGAGTCTGTCAGAACATACTCTTTCAATTCATACAGGACAGTGCTAAAGAATTAAAAATGTAAATAGTAAGATACCATGTCACTTCCTAGACTTACTTTTTAGTTCACATTAGTTGCAATTACTTTTCAACTTATAACCTTGTTGACCGTTAAAGAATTCAAGGATATATTTACTTATCTGGAACCTGACATGACATTTTCTCTAGCTTTGATAATTTATATGATTATAATACAAATTTTAGAATTGTCAAAAAATACCAAATCAAGATTAAATTACTTTTCTTCATTACTGAACATAAGCCAATGTGTAAAAGTCTTTTCTATGGGAATTAATTTTTTTTTTGAGACAGAGTCTCGCTTAATTGCCCAGGCTAGAGTGAGTGCCGTGGCGTCAGCCTAGCTCACAGCAACCTCAAACTCCTGGGCTCAAGCAATCCTCCTGCCTCAGCCTCCCCAGTAGCTTGGACTATAGGCATGTGCCACCATGCTCGGCTAATTTTTTTCTATACATATCAGATGGCCAATTAATTTCTATTTATAGTAGAGACGGGGTCTCACTCTTGCTCAGGGTGGTTTCGAACTCCTGACCTTGAGCGATCTGCCCACCTCGGCCTCCCAGAGTGCTAGGATTACAGGCGTGAGCCACCGTGCCCAGCCTGGGAATTAATTTTAAATTCAACTTCATTTTGTAGGTGGTCATCTCTGTAATTCCAACTCATGTTCTCTTTCCTATGTCCCTCCATCACCTCTTTACTTTTGTGCATCATGCTTGTCTTCCTGCCCCTGAGACACGATCAAGTGGCTGCAAGCTAAGAGGACGAGGGCTCCATCTAATGTGATAGTGAGGTCAGGTTTAGGCACCAACCTCACAAGCTGACAGAGCTCTGGAGGGTGAGAAACCAATTCAGGTTCCATTAGCTCTGTTCTTTCTGCTGACTGCTCCCCTCTTTCCAGTCCATTGCAACATTCTCCTTGCTCCAAAAAGGATTTTGTCTTCTCCGGGTCCATTCTAGTAGAAGAGGGCACATTAGAATGCAGAGTCTCATACACAGGGAATCTCATTGTTTCCTAGGGAATTGGCTACTAATAACTAAGAGTGACAAATACACTAACAGGAAGAAGCAACTCTCCTGTGACCAGCCCCAATTTACCCACCACGATCTAAAAAACATGAAAAGATATCTTCAAATGCTAAAGAGAGAAGATTTAGAAACAATGTCAAAAAACCACTCTGTATGGCCATGGATACTCCTGATGAGAAATTTCAAAATGTCAATCTGTCTCGTTTTATGTTTCTGTTGTGTATGCATGTTTGTGTATAGATGTGTGTTGATAGGAGTATCTCTGTATGAATATTTATTTATGTATGTATGAAAGTATCTACATATATTAATACATACACATATTATTTATCTATTTATAACTTACCATGCATGGAGGGGTATCTGAGATGCTACTTCTGTCAATTCACCTTGCTGTGCACTAAGAGATTACAAAAGAATACAATCAGATACAAGAAACAATTCTTTTTTTTTTTTTTTTTTTTTGAGACACAGTTCTCACTCTGTTGTCCGGGCATCAGCCTAGCTCGCAGCAACCTCAAACTCCTGGGCTCAAGAAATCCTCCTGCCTCAGCCTCTCAAGTAGCTGGGACTACAGGCATGCGCCACCATGCCCGGCTAATTTTTTCTATATATATTAGTTGGCCAATTAATTTCTTTCTATTTATAGTAGAGACAGGGTCTCGCTCTTGCTCAGGCTGGTCTCGAACTCCTGAGCTCAAGTAATCCTCCCGCTTCAGCCTCCCAGAGTGCTAGGATTACTAGCCACCACGCCTGGCCCTGCAAGGCATAATTCTAAACTTACTTTTGTGAGATAGTTACAGTTCCCCTAGGCATAAACTGGGTGAGCTCAATATTCACGTAATGTAACACTAACGGAATGTAGAAGGTCATTTTTTTATTACAAACGAGGCCTCGTGTGCTGGTAATAAACATCTTACACCTCTGAAAATAGTAACACTACCAGATTTAAGTAAAACCACTTATTACCTTAGTCTCGATGTGTTATGGACTCTCTGAGTCAGGGGCTTCATCCAATATAAGAGGGGATTGGAGTTTGGGACACCAGCCTTACACAGTAACAGAGCTTCTGAGGGTGAGGAAACATCCCAAGTCTACTAGTGTATCTTTTCTCATCTCTTGGCTGATACTTGTGGGAGAGGGTGCACCAGAATACAGAGACTGAAGGAATTGGATGCTATTAACTAAGGATAACAAATACACTATCAGGAAGAATAACTCTCCTGTGATGGAATCTGCTTTATCCCCCTCAATCAAGAAAGATAGAAAGTTACTTCCAAATGCTACAGTGAACAGATTTAGAAGAAATGTAAAACGAAAAAAAAAAAACACTCTTCTGTGTCAATGTGTTTCTTTAATTGCCATCTATTTCTGTTGTTTATGTATGTGTGTTGACACGAGTTTGTCTATATGTATACTTATTCATTTATGTATATGCATAAGTGTGTATGAATGTGCATACGTACACATATCTCTACTTATCTAGTTGAACTCACGGTGGGTGGAAGCAGAGGTTGGAGGATTCCTCTTCCCAAGTGATAGTCGGTGTTCTAAGAGATTATAAAAGAATAAGGTCAGAATTAAGACATCATTGTAAATGTACTCTTTGGGATAAACAGTCACAGTTAGTGACTCTAGGCTTGAACTGGGTGATTTTTAAATATTCATGTGTGTAGCTCTAATCGAATCTAGAAGGTCATTCTAGCCTCTAATGAGGTTCTATGTGCTGGGAAGAAAGAGCTAAGGCCTGTGAAATAGTAATGCTTCCAAATTTAAGTAAAGCTCTTTAGTATTACATTAATCTCAGTGTGTTACAGCCTCTCCTCTGGAGTCAGGGGCTCCATCCAATGTAGGAGCGGGCTGGACTTTGGGACAGCAGCCTTAACATGGTGACAGAACTCTTTAGGGTGAGGAAAACATCCAAAGTCTCTTAGCTTTGTCTTTCCTACTTAGAGCCCTACTCTCCTCCATTTCCACCAAAGCTCTTCTTTGATGCCAGATAGGATTTCTCCTCACTTGTTCCTTGTTAAAGGTTGAATATGGTACCAACACAATTCAATTACTAAAGTTCCCATCCTTCTAACTCATAGTGTGACCTCATTCTGAACTAGAGTCATTGCTAATGCGTGTAGTTGAGATGGAGCACATAGAGGTGTGGGGAGGCCTCCTACTCCAATATGATTGGTATCTTCATAATCTGGGAAAATTTGGGCACAGATGCACACATATGGAAAATGTCACGGGAAGATAGCGGCAGAGATCCGGGTGCTGAGTACATGCCAAGGAATGCCAAAGAAGGCCAGCAACCAGCAACAGCTAGCAAAGAGAAATACAACAGATTCTGCCCTACAGCCTTCATAGGAAGCCAACCCTGCCGACACCTTCATTTCACACTTCTAGTCCCGAGGACTGTGAGATAATGAATTGCTGGTGCTTCAGCCACTCAGTCCTTGACACTGTGTTATGACAGCTCTGGAAACTACTACAGCCCTCTCTACTCGGGTCTCATACACAGGCAATCCGATAGTTTTCTAAAAGTTTTGGCTGCCAGTCACTTGGGTAGGAGGAGTGGTCTGCTCCCTTCTGACCTGTTCTGACCTCTTTTATCCCACTAGATACACAGAGAAAAGGGGGTTACATACAGAAGCTGACACTGCCAATAATTTAGGGACAGTGTCCAAGAAAGTCTATCTTTAATACCTCTGCATATTTTTATATATCTATATGTAATTCATATATGATGGAGATATTTCTATATATATATGTAGATATATATTATTCCATCATACAGGAGTGATGTCAGTTCATTTCGGTCAGAGCTAAAGACCTAAATTTCACAGTCACACACTGTGTACGCATCGACTTACTTTTTCATTCACATTAGCTACAATATCCATACAACTCATAAATTAATTAAGGTCTAAGAAATGTACATGTAATTTGCCTATTTAGAAAGTGCTATTTCATTTTTCCATAGAAGTGAGACATTATATGGTAGTAATGAAATTATTAAGCCTGTTCAGAGACGCCTTAATGAATCAAGATTTTGAAAGTCATTTTCACTGCTGAACCTCGTCCCAATGTGTAACATTCTTTTTTTGGTGGCAGTAGTTTCAAATCCAACTTCAGTTTTTAGGCAGCCTGCTTTGTGTTTCAGTCTCATGTCCTCTGCTTCCTATATCCTCCATCACTTCTTTTTTTTTTTTTTTTTTTGAGACAAGAGTCTCGCTTTGTTGCCCAGGCTAGAGTGAGTGCCCTGGCATCAGCCTGGCTCACAGCAACCTCAAACTCCTGGGCTCAAGCCATCCTCCTGCCTCAGCCTCCCAAGTAGCTGGGACTATAGGCACGTGCCACCATGCCCGGCTAATTTTTTCTGTATATATTAGTTGGCCAATTAATTTCTTTCTATTTATAGTAGAGACAGAGTCTCGCTCTTGCTCAGGCTGGTTTTGAACTCCTGACCTCAAACAATCTGCCCGCCTCAGCCTCCCAGAGTGTTAAGATTACAGGTGTTAGCCACTGCACCTGGCCCACTTCTTTATTTCATGCATCATGCTTGTCTTCCTGCCCCTGAGACACGATCAAGTGGCTACAGGCTAAGAAGACAAGGGCTCCATCCAATGTGATAGTGAGGTTGGGTCTAGGCACCAGCCTCACATGCTGACAGAGCTCTGGGGCATGAGACACCAATTCAGTTCCATTAGCTCTGTTCTTTTTGCTGAGTGCTTCCTTCTTCCCCGTCCACTGCAACATCCTCCTTGCTCCAAATAGAATGTTCTCCTCTCCTGGCCCATTCTAGCAGGAGAGGGCGCACCAAAATGTAGAGTCTCATACACAGGGAATCTCATTGTTTCTTAAGGAATTCACTGCTAATAACTAAGGGAACAAATACACTGACAGGAAGAAGCAACTCTACTGTGACCAGCTCATCTTTATCTACCTCAGTCTAGGAAAGATGGAAAGTTACCTCCAAATGCTGCAGTGAGAAGATGCAGAAATAATGTAAAAAAAAATCTCTGTAAGGCCATGGATGCTCCTTAGGGTGAGTTTCAAATATGTCAATCTGTCTTTTTAATTGTCTTCTATTTCTGTAGCATATGCATGTTTGTGTATATATGTGTGTTGATAGGAGTATATCTGTATGTATATTTATTTATATATGTGTATAAAATTGCATATACCTATACAGACATACATATATCTTCATTTATCTATTTATAACTCACCCTTTTGCAGAGGAACCTCAGTGATGATTTCTACCACTTCTTCCTGGTTTTTACTAGGAGAGTATGTAAAAATACAGTCAGATGTATGACATAAGTCTAAATTTACTGTTTGGGATAAATAGGTACACTTATACTAGGCATGCACTGTTTGATTTTTCAGTGTTCATGTGTGTATCACTAATTGAAAATAAAAGGTCATTGTTTATTAGAAATGAGGCTTTCTGTGCTGGTACTAATTATCTTAGGCCTGTGAAATAGTAATGCTTCCAGATTTAAGTCAAGGAAAGGTCCAAATTATTCTCTTCACCCCAATGTCTTATAGACTCTCCCCCTGAGTCAGGGGCTCCATCCAATATCAGAGTGGGTTGCAGTTTTGGACACCAGCCTTACATGGTAACAGAGCTCTTGAGGGTGAGGAACATATCCAGTGTCTACTAGCTTCATCTTTTCTGTTTAGGGCAGTACTGCTCCATTTCACTTTACCTCTTCCTTGATGCCAGATAGGATTTCTCCTCACTCGTTCCTTATTAAAGATAGAATATCGCAGCCCCTACCCAATTCAATTACTGAAGTTCTAATGCCTGTAACTAATGATGAAACCTTATTCTCAAATAGAGTAATTGCAAACTTGTGTAGTTAAGATGGGAGTAATACTGGTATAAGGTGGGCCAATATGATTGGTATCCTCATAAAGAGGGAAAGTTTGGACACAGATGCACACACAGGAAGAATTTCATGGGAAGATGGAGGTAGAGATGTGGGTGAAGAGTCTATATGCCAAGGAATGCCACCGATTTCCAGCAACCCGCAAAAGCTAGCAGAGAGGCACAGAACAGAGTCTGCCCTACAGCCTTCATAAAAAGCCCACCCTGCCGACACCTTCATTTCAGACTTTTAGCGTCTAGGACTGTGAGATAATAAAGTTGTGGTGTTTCAGCAACTCAGTCTGTGACACTTTGTTATGGCAGCTTTAGAAACTACTATAGCCCTGTCTACTACAGTCTCCTACAGAGGCAATCTGATAGTTTTCTAAAGGTTTTGGCTGCTAGTCACTAGGGTAGGAGGCAGTGGTCTGCTTCCTTCTGACCTGTTCTGACCTCTTTTCTCTGTACATCCCCAAAAGAAGGTGTGTTACACACAGAATCTGACACTGCCAATACTTTAGAAACAGAGTCAAAGGCAGTCTATACATAATATCTGTGACATTTTTATATATCTATATGTACATTTATATTTTTATTTTTTTTATTTTTTGAGACAGAGTCTCACTTTTGTTGCCCTGGCTAGAGTGAGTGCCATGGCGTCAGTCTAGCTCACAGCAACCTCAATCTCCTGGGCTCAAGCGATCCTCCTGCCTCAGCCTCCCAAGTAGCTGGGACTACAGACATGCACCACCATCGCCGGCTAATTTTTTGTATATATTTTTTGTTGGTCAATTAATTTCTTTCTATTTTGTAGAGACAGGGTCTCGCTCAGGCTGGTTTCGAACTCCCAACCTCGAGCAATCCGCCCGCCTCAGCCTCCCAGAGTGCTAGGATTACAGGCTTGAGCCACCGCGCCTGGCCATTTATATTTTTAAAAGTGATATGCACACACATATATATGTGTGAGTGTGTATATATATATGTACATATATGTGATAGCATCATATGTTAGTGAGGTTAATTCCTGTCGGCCAGTTAAGAATTAAATTTCACTGACACTCTACAAAAAAGACACCTGCACTCGAATGTTTATAGCAGCACAATTCATAATTGCAAGGCTGTGGAACAGCCCAAGTGCCCATCAATCAAGAGATGATTAATAAAATGTGGTATATGTACACCATGGATACTATTCAGCTCTAAGAAACAATGGTGATATAGCACACCTTATATTTTCCTGGTTAGAGCTGGAACCCATACTACTAAGTGAAGTATCCCAAGAATGGAAAAACAAGCACCAGATATATTCTCCAGCAAACTGGTATTAACTGAGTAGCACCTAAGTGGACACATAGGTGCTACAGTAATAGGGTATTGGGCAGGGGGGAGGGGGGCGGGTATATACATACATAGTGAGTGAGATGTGCACCATCTGGGGATGGTCATGATGGAGACTCAGACTTTTGGGGGGAGGGGGGAAATGGGCATTTATTGAAACCTTAAAATCTGTACCCCCATAATATACCAAAATAAAAAAAATAATTAAAAAAAAAAAGAATTAAATTTCACATAATCAAACACTATGTGAATTCAGAGACTTACTTTTTCATTTAAATTAGCTACAATATCTATAGAACAAATACAGTGATTAAACTCTATGACATTCAGGTGTAATTTGGCTATTTAGAAACTGGTATCTCATTTTCCCCTAGAAGTGAGGCATTATATGATAGTAATGAAACTATTAAGCCTGTTGAGAAAAGCCTTAATGAATCAGGATTTTAAAAGTTATTTTTACTGCTGAACGTAATCTCAATGTGTGACAGTCTTTTTGTGGTGGGATTAATTTTAATTTAAACTATTGTTTGTAGATAGTCAGCTCTGTAATTCCATCTCATTTCCTGCTTCCTATGTCCCTCCATCACCTCCTTACTTTCCTGATTCATGCTTGTCTTCCTATCTATGAGAAAGGATCAATGAACCGCAGGCTAAGAAGACAAGGGCTCCATCTAATGTGATAGTGAGGTTAGGTTTAGGCACCTGCCTCACATGTTGACAGAGCTCTAGAGGATGAGAAACCAATCCAGGTACTATTAGCTCTGTCCTTTTTCCTTAGTCTTTCCCTCTTCCTGGTCCATTGCAACCTCCTAGTTGCTCCAACTGGGATTTTCTCCTCCCTTGGCCCATTTGAGTAGGAGAGGGCGCACCAGAATGTAAAGTCTCATACACAGGGAATCTCATTGTTTCCTCGGGAATTGGCTACTAATAACTAAGGGTGACAGATACACTAACAGGAAGCAGCAATTCTCCTGGGCCTAGCTCCTCTTTAACCCACTCAATCTATAAATAATGGAAAGTGACCTCCAAATGCTACAGTGAGATGGTTTTGAAACAATGTCAAAAAAACACTCTGTATGGCCATGCATGCTCCTGGGGGTAAACCTCACAAATGCCAATGTGTTTCTTTAATTGTCTTCTATTTCTGTTGTTTATGCATGTTTGTTTATGTATGTGTGTTGACATGAGTATGTCTGTGTGTATCATTATTTATCTATGTGCATAAGTTTGCATGTATGTACATACATACATACATATATCTCTATTTATCTAGTTTGAACTCACACTGGTTGGTTGTGTCCGTCCAAGGCTCCTTTTGTGCATTCAGGCCTTTTAGGGCTAAGAGATTATAAAATAATAAGGTCAGGTTCAAGACATCACTGTAAATTTACTTTTTGGGATACATCGTTACAGTTACTCTTGACATGAACTGGGTGATTTTTTTTAAATTTCAGCATATTATGGGGGTGCATATGTTTAAGTTGTGTATATTGCCCTTGGCCCCTGCCCGAGTCAGAGCTTCAAGCATGTCTACCCCCAGATGGTGTGCATCACATTCATTATGTATGTATATACCCATCCCCTTCTCCCCCTCCCATCTGCCCAACACCTGATGAATGTTATTCCTATATGTGCACTTAGGTGTTGATCAGTTAAAACCAATTTGCACCACCAATTTACATGTGGTGCTTATTTTTCCATTCTTGGGATACTTTACTTAGTAGAATGCGTTCTAGCTCTATCCAGGAAAATACAAGAGGTGCTATATCACCATTGTTTCTTGTAGCTGAATAGTACTCCATGGTATACATATACCACATTTTATTAATCCACTCATGTATTGATGGGCACTTGGGTTGTTTCGACATCTTTGCGATTGTGAACTTGGTGATTTTTAAATATTCATGCATGTAGTACTAATTTACTCTAGAAGGTCATTTTTTATTAGAAATGAAGCTTTATATGCTGGTAATAAATATCTTAGGCCTGTGAAACAGTAATGCTTCCAGATTTAAGGAAAGCTCTTTATTATTTTCCTTAGTCTCAGTGTCTTATATCCTCTCCCCAAGTCAGGGGCTCCATCCAGTATGAGAGTAGGTTGGAGTTTGGGACAGCAGCCTCACATGGTAACACAGCTCTTGAGGGTGAGAAACATAAGCAAAGGCTATTAGCTTTGTCTTTTGTCCTTACGGCCCTACTTCTCTGTTTCCACTACACCTCTTCCTTGATGCCAGATAGAATTATTCCTCACTTGTTCCTTGCTCAAGGTTGAATATAGTACCCCCAATTCAATCCTTGAAGTTCTTATCACTGTAACTGATGATGTGCCCTTTTTCTCAAATAGAGTAATTGCAAACTTGTGTAGTTAAGATGGAGGTCATACTGGTGTAAGGTGGGCCCCTCATCCAATATGATTGGTATCCTCATAAAGAGGGAACATTTGGACATAGATGCACACACAGGAAGAATTTCATGGGGAGATGGAGGTAGAGATGTGGGTGAAGAGTCTGTATGCCAAGGAATGCCACCGATTTCCAGCAACCTGCAAAAGCTAGCAGAGAGGCACAGAACAGAGTCTGCCCTACAGCCTTGATAAAAAGCCAACCCTGCCGACACCTTCAAAGACTTCTAGTGTCTAGGACTGTGAAATAATAAAGTTGTGGTGTTTCAGCCACTCAATTTGTGATACTTTGTTACAGCAGCCCTAGAAACTGCTATAGTTCTGTCTACTAGAGTCTCCTACACAGGCAATCTGATAGTTTCCTAATAGTTTTGGCTGGTAGCCTGTTGGGTAGGAGGCAGTGGTCCTCTTCGTTCTGATCTGGTTTGACTTGTTTATTTCCACTAGATCCACAAACAAAAAATGTTAGGTACAGAAGCTTATACTGCCAGTACTTTAGAAACAGTGTCCTAGAAAAATCTAAAGTTAATATCTGTATGTATTTTTATATACTTTTATGTATGTTTTGAGTTTGACAGGTGATATTTTACATATATAAATGTGTATTATTCTATCATATGTTTGTGATTTCAGTTCATTTGGGTCAGAGCTAAAGAATTAAATTTTACATAATGATATACTATGTGAATTCATAGATTTACTTTTTAATTCAAATTAGCTACATATCCATACAATATCCATACAACTAATAAATTAATTAAACTCTAAGAAATTCACATGTAATTGGCTATTTAGAAACTGGTATTAATATTTCATTTCTCTCCAGAGGTAGGCATTATAGGGTAGAAATGAAATTATTAAGCCTGTAAAAGAAGGCTTAGTGAATCAATATTTCAAACCTTTTTTGTTATTGTTGTTACTGTTGATCCTAAACTCTCTTTTTAAAGGTCTTTTGTGGAGTCATTTATATCAAGTTCAACTTCAGTTTGTATGTACCCTATTTGAACACCAAAATTCTTTGAGTCTAAAAGATGTAGTAAACCTGACTTAGCTCACTGGAAGACCTAAATTTTTAGATAGAATTTCAGAATCAGTGTCCTCAAAACTGTTTCCCATGAAAAATTCTGAAACTGAATTTCACCAATCTTAATTGCCCACACATCTCTTTCTCTTTCTCCCTCTCTCTTTCCATAACTATATACATATGTATGTGTATGTGTGTATGTATGTATATGCATATATGCATGTGTGTATATATGCATATGTATGTATGTGTATGTGTTTATGTGTATATGTGTATGTATATATGTGTGTGTGTATATATATGTGTGTGTATATATATATAGGCATCACCTTTCACGTTGGGCTCCATCAAAGCTTTCTGATATCACATTACTAATGTGATTGGTGCTAAAGGATAGAAATTTACATAATAAGTAACAATATAAATTCATACACTTACTTCTTTTGGCTCAAATTGGCTATAATTATTCTACAAATTACACATTTGTTGGCTCTAAAACAATTCTCATGTAAATCAGTTATTTGGAACCTAATATTTCATTTTTCCCTAGAAATAAGCCTTTATATGTTTGAATGAAAAAAAAAATTTTTTTTTAAAACAGAGTCTCACCCTGCTGCCTAGGCTAGAGTGCTGTGTTGTCAGCCTAGCTCACAGCAACCTCAAACTCCTGGGCTCAAGCAATCCTTCTGCCTCAGCCTCCCGAGTAGCTGGGACTACAGGTATGTGCCACCATACCCAGCTAATTTTTTCTATATTCTTTCAGTTGGTCAATTAATTTCTTTCTATTTTTAGTAGAGATGGGGTCTCGCTCTTACTCAGGCTGGTTTCAAATTTCTGACCTTGAGTGATCCACCTGCCTTGGCCTCCCAGAGTGCTAGGATGACAGGCATGAGCCACCACGCCTAGTCTAAAATGAAAATTTTTAAGCCTGTCCAAAATGTTTAATGAATCACCAGCCCATTTGTCACCAGCCTGGGATGAAGCAGACCTCATTTCAACCTATCTGACTTAAGAATCCATGCTGTTACCATAACACTTTCCTAACTTTTCAAATATTTTAGTAAATTTCAGAAATTGCACACATTTCTTTGCTGTTGATAAGCACAGGGAATCTCTAGGAGGGAACCTGGTTATGTGGAGATTCCTAAACTTATTTAACCACAGAACCTCTTTCTCACAGTGGAAATGTGTGAAAAACACATGTTGGAAGCATGTATTAAATGGTATTTCTTTATGTCTTTAAGTATAAGTTCTTCCCCATAAGCCAATTTTGGACTCTGATCAATAGCTCAACACTCTAAGTACAGATACACATTAATCTTATGCTATTCTTTCAGTCTGTCTGTAAAGAAGGGCTGGAGTTCAGATTATCAAATCCTCTTGGCCTGGGCTGAGGATCTATGAAAAAGGAACCTTTCAAGTTCTAAGTGGGAGTTCTGATATCCTTGAAGAATGGCTCATGGAAGTCCATCTAGGACTTAGAGAAAAAAGAGTATCTTTTATAAAAAGAAAGACATTTATAGTATCTGCTGCTTTTTAACAGGAAGATCAACTGTATTGACTATTTACTAATAAATCATACAGGGAAAAAATATTCAGACCACCAAAAAGGCAAGAATTTCAGTTTCTGACATAGGCAGCCCTATTGAATGATTACAGGGTTACCTTCACTGTGGTAATTGACAATGTTTCAGGTGTTAATCAACATGGGGCAACTGAAGCCCTTGTGGAGACCATCTCAGCGGACTGACTTCCTAAGTAGAACACTAGCTCACCATCATTGAACAGAGCCTCCACCACTAGGGCAACCAGCTGCCTCCATAGGAAAAGCTTAAAGTGACTGCATATGCATATTATCACATTGCCTACAAAGTAGTATTTTTAAGGAAAAAACAGGCATAAGAATGAGGTCTTTATATTATGAGTTTGCCAAATTTTACTTGCATACAGTTAACAGTTATTATGAAAGAAGGTACATGAGTATTCTCTATTCCATTAATCAAGGCTACGAATTATGTTTAAAGTCAGTACAATTCATGTAGCCAAAACATTTGTACCCCTGTAATATTCTGGAAAAAACTATTCAGTACATTTGGGTTATATGAATTACTTATTTCTCAACCAGTGTACCAAGGAACGATAGAAACGATTATTCGTTAATCTTTACATTTTGCCTTTGTGGTTGAAATCAATTCACAAATAATCTAAGAAAAGGAAAAGCACATATGAATTTTATATCAAATTAGAAAGTCATATATAGAAATTATTAAATATGGATCACATTTCTAAAGTCTTGATTCCACAAATCTACAGTATTGTGCAATTTTATCAATCCTATGAAACATACATCCTGTATTTGCCCTTGGTATCTTAGTTCCATAAACAGAGGAAATAGAGGAATACATTTTTTTGAATGTTCAATAAAATTTAAGTTTAGCTCAAGTATAAGACACTTTAAAGTCTACTTCCTACAAAGGACTCAGAAAGTGAAACAAAATCCATTTCAAGCCAATTTTATGTCATGATTGTAATTTATAATATTTCTATACTAAAATATTCTGTAGAATAAATCAAAGGAATGAGAAAGAAAAGATGCGCCCCTCAATATTTGACAGAGTGGATTTATGTCATGCAAGAAAATTGGAAGTCACTGCAAAATAAAAAGACACTACCAAGTACATTGCCAAGTTAATAACATGATATCTACACTGAGGCAGCCACAAATGTGCCACAAGCCCCTAAACTCTTGGCAAAGAGAGAAAAATGAAAACAAATAAAAAAAATACTTCTCTTTAAAAATATATATATAAATAGACCAATTTGGGCATAAATGTTTTGGGCCAGGGGCAGACACTGGTAAAGTCTATCACTTTGAAGGGTAGCAGCTCATGTGCAGTGGGGTGGAAATCCCAAAGCTCTCAGACTATTGCCTTGTACTCCAGAGATGTGGTCCAGGCACAGTTTTGGATGTGAACCAGGGCAGTTCTGAGGCAGAGCCAGATTTCTGGGAGTCCCTCCTGCCTGCAAGCCCTAGACCTGCGTGTCTGTAGGCAGGACTACTTCTGCTGGGGCCACTGCAGCTGCGAAGGAGCTGAGGGCAGCAGGGTGGTGGGATAAATAGTGTCTCGGGTCTTGTGACTTGGGTACAACTTTCTCTAAGAGGGAGTGAATTTTACTCAAAATCCTGTTAGCAGTTTCCTCTCCTGCTGCCTTTCAGGATAATAGCTTTTCCCTTTTTAAAGTATTTTTTTTATTTTTAATTTCCCCAAACCAAGCTTAAGTAAAATTTTCATCCAATTCCTGGCCAGCAACAAAGTTACTGCTACTTGGCCCTCCATCCACTAGTTGAATGCCCCCCCCCCACCTCCCACCAATGATGAGGGGACTCTGGGAGTGCCCTGGAAGGGGAGAGGGATGTTATTAGTGGTCCTCCCAGCTGGATATTGGAAAACCTTTCTGTCTGTGGGCCTCAGAAACCTACATCCAGCCCCCTGCCCCTGCATAACTCCATTCCTCTTAAACTTTACATTCTTTTAATTTTCTTGGTGAGGATGAGAAAGCAACATTAGCTGAAGTAGAGAACAGAGGATGGGATGGGACTCCCTTGCTCAGAGACCCTGATCCCTACATCCTACCTGGTGCTGAGAGCAAGCTAGAACTGAAATAATGACTCTGCATCCATGGTAACCCCAAACAGAATCCTGGAGGTCTTGAGATTGTGACACTGTGGGGGATAAAATGACTTTGGTGCAAGACTGCAGGGATTTAAAAGTAGACACTATTCTCCTTAAACATCGAGATGGGGGTTGGGGCAAGGTTGTACCATGATCAAAGAACACAGGATTATAATCTCAGAGCAGAGACTAACTCCCCAGTTATTTTTTCTTTGGTATATAATGGAGGGGATTCTTCTTATGTATTCTGATGAAGCAGCTTATATTAAGCATTTGGCTGCTTTTGTGGTTTGTGGAGAATGACCAGAGGGCTGAATGTTTTCTTGCCAATATTAAATGTTACTAAAATAAACAAAATCAATAGTGAGGACTTGGGGGAAATTTTTCATTTACTCAAGCTATCATTTCATAGGATTGGAAGGAAACAATCAAATAGTTACAAATTTAAAATATATCCATATTCTTGGTTGAGTAAACATGAAAGGTAGAAACAAATGCCAAACAAATAAAAGAAAGCTTTTAAAATGATTAGATGAATCATTAGAAATTTCTGTGTGGAAATTATAATATAATTACAATATATAAGTAGAGAAAGATCAGTTTGCCACCATGTGTTGGTACATGACCTGGCGCCAAGGAAATGGTCACAGTTGAAGATACAGAAAAAAGATTAAACTCATTTTTATTTAATATTTCTGTAAAGCACCTTGCAAGATTCAAAAATGAATAAAACAGGCTCCCTGACTTCAGTGTCAGGTTGATGACCTTAAGACCAGATCTGGAGACACAGAGAGCAGCTTTTGGGTGGTGGTTGCTTTCCCAAAGAGTGATTAGCTATGGAGGAACAAGTAATGAGTAGTTTGGGGCTGGTCGAGTATTAAGGAATAAAGTCGATTGCTGTGGCAGAGACAAGGTAGCTGCTGAGTTTTTGAAGTAGTATTTATTGAGATCCTCTCTAGGACATGTTCAATGGGATGTGTGACCGTGCTACAGAAAAATGCTTATGATACTGTCGCCTTCGCCTGAGTACTCTGAGCTGGTCAAAGTTTCTTCTTATGCAACACTAACTGGTGTGACCGGTGTATGCTACAGCTCACAGTGGAGGCCCCAAATCTCCATCTTCACATATGTTTTCCACACTTTTCCACTCTGTTTGGGGAGGCTCATCTTTATAAACTTTATCAACAGTCTCCTTTGCCCTCTCTTCTACACTGGGGTTCTGCCAATGGGAGGCCCTGATAGGAGGATGGAGAGTGAGACAGAGTATAGTCAAGGTTTTATTTTTTATTTTATTTTATTGTTTTGAGACAGAGTCTCACTTTGTTGCCCAGGCTAGAGTGAGTGCCGTGGCGTCAGCCTAGCTCACAGCAACCTCAAACTCCTGGGCTCAAGCAATCCTCCTGCCTCAGCCTCCCGAGTAGCTGGGACTACAGGCATGCGCCACCATGCCCAGCTAATTTTTTTTCTCTATATATTATTTGGCCAATTAATTTCTTTCTATTTATAGTAGAGATGGGGTCTCGCTCTTGTTCAGGCTGGTTTCAAACTCCTGACTTCGAGCAATCCGCCCGCCTCGGCCTCCCAGAGTGCTAGGATTACAGGCATGAGCTACTGTGCCTGGCCTATAATCAAGGTTTTAAAACCCTGTGTACTTCATCAGCTACAGTTTGACAGTAGCTGTGTCAGATTTATCCCTAAGTATTTAATACTTTTTGATGCTATTATAAATGGTACTATAATATTTTCTTAAGATTTTATAGCACAAATTCTGACATGTTCTTTTTTTTTCTTATTTCAGCATATTATGAGGATACAAATGTTTAGGTTACGTATATGGCCTTGCCCCCCCAACCCCCGAGTCAGAGCTTCAAGCATATCTATCCCCAGATGGTGTGCATCACACTCATTATGTATGTATATACCCATCCCCTCCTTGCCCCTCCCATCTGCCCAACACCCGATGAATGTTATTCCTATATGTGCACTTAGGTGTTGATCAGTGAAACCAATTTACTGGTGAGTACATGTGGTGCTTATTTTTCCATTCTTGGGATACTTCACTTAGTAGAATGGGTTCCAGCTCTATCCAGGATAATATAAGAGGTGCTAGATCACCATTGTTTTTTGTATTTGAGTAGTATTCCATGGTATACACATACCACAATTTATTTATTTATTTATTTATTTTAATTTTTTTTTTATTTTGGCATATTATGGGGGTACAGATTTTAAGATTTCAATAAATGCCCATTCCCCCCCTCCCCCCAAAAGTCTGAGTCTCCATCATACCACAATTTATTAATCTACTCATGTATTGATGGGCACTTGGGTTGTTTCCACATTTTTGCAATTGTGAATTGTGCTGCCATAAATATTCAACTGCGGATGTCTTTATTATGGAATGACTTTATTATGGAATGTCTTAATACCAATACTCAGTAGTGGGATTACTGGATCTAATGGTATTTCTACTCTTAGCTCTTTGAGGTATCTCCAAATTACTTTTCACAGGGGTTGTACTAATTTGCATTCCCACCAGCAGTGTAAAAGTGTTCGATTCTCTCCACATCCTTGCCAGCATTTGTTGTTTTGGGATTTTTTTGATAAAGGTCATTCTCACTGGAGTTAGGTGATATCTCATTATGGTTTTGATTTGCATTTCCCTAATGATAAGAGATGTTGAACACTTTTTAATGTTTGCTGGCCTTTATTCAGTCTTCTTTTGAAAAGTTTATGTTCATGTCCTTTGCCCATTTATTGATGGGGTTGTTTAATTTTTTCTTATTGATTTTCTTAAGTTCTATATAGATTCTTGTTAGTAGCCCTTTATTGGATGTGTAGAAAGCAAATATTTTCTCCCATTCTGTAGGTTGTCTATTTGCTCTAATGATAGTTTCCTTGGCTGTGCAGAAGTTTTTAAATTTGACCAGGTCCTATTTATTTATTTTTGTTGCTGCTGTGATTGCTTTGGGGGGTCTTCTTCATAAATTCTTTGCCTAGGCCGATGTCTATAAGAGTTTCCCCAACATTTTCTTCTAGAATTCTTAAGGTTCCATACCTTAGGTTTAAGTCTGTTATTTACCATGATTTGGTTTTTGTGAGAGGTGTTTGGTAGGGATCCAGTTTCAGTCTTCTGCATGTGGTTACCTAGTTTTCCCAGAACCATTGGTTAAATAGAGATTCTTTTCTCCAATATATATTTTTGTGTTGCTTTGTTGAAGATTACATGACAATATGAGAATGGTTTTATATCTGGGTGCTAGTCCTGTTCCAAAGGTCTGTATCTCTGTTTGTGTGCCAGTAGTATTATGCTATTTTTGTTACTATAGCCTTGTAATAAAGCTTGAAGTCTGGTAGACTGTTGCCTCCCAATTTGTTTTTTAGAATCCATGGGTGGAAGTTTGAGGTAAAACAGTCAGGATATTAGCACAGTCTCAATGTATCTCCTCTAAGACATTAATATCTGTCAAATACAAAAGGAAAAATACTGATTGTATACTGGAGAAATCTGATAGAAGCTATCTTAGCCA